GGGGGGAGGGGGCCGAGTTGAAGGCCCGAAGCCTGGGGCTGGAGTTTGAGGGCAGACGGAGGGCAGGCCCGGGGCGAGTGTGGTGCCTATGGCCCGCTGCCCCGCGGAGGGCCCGGCTGTTCAGGCCTGGTCACGGATCCCGGTGGTGGGGCCTCGGGCCCTGGAGGACGCGCTGTCCGTGTGGAGCCCGCTGTCCCCGGACCCGCTTCAGTCTCAGTCCCAGCTCCTGAGCTTCGTGGCCGGGCTCCGTGACGAGGGTTACCTGCCCACCGTGCTCCGGAGCCGGGACGTGTACGGCTACACCTCATCAACCTGCCAGGTCCCCCCGCCTGGGCCTGGGCCTGGCCCCGGAGCCTCGGCCTCAATTAGCAGCCAGGCCCAGGGGGGCGCCTCCAGCAGCAGCAGCGCCGCCGCCGCCGCCGCCAGCCGCAAGAAACCCCGTAAAAACCCCAAGTGTAACGGCTGGCTCCGGCCCCCGGCCTCGGGGGTCCGCCTGATGGGAGAGAGCTCCCTTAGGAGACACCGTTACCCCGAGAGGAGAGCCCCCAGGGAGAGGGAGAGCAAGAGCCGCCGCCAACAGCAACAGGCCCTGAAGCCCAGGCCTGGGGCACAGGCAGATCCCACTAACAGCAGGCTGCAACTCCTCAGGTCCAAGGTCATCAAAGTGGACGACTCCTCCTCGGACGAGGAGGTCCGCAGGAAAGCGCAGAAGATCCTTCGGGTCAACCTGTCACCAGTCATCAGGATCAGCCCCATCACCTACCCCCTTCACTAGGGGCTTGACCGCTGGGGATGACGAGGACAAAGGCGCCACCGTCCCTCCCTCTTGCTCTCCCCACCACCAAGGCCAGGCGTTTCCCGCTCCGTCCGGGCGTGCGGCCGGACCCCGAGGGACGCAGACACGCAGCGAGACTCGTCGTACGTTTATTCACCGCGATCTCCGGAGCCCACCCGGACTGGTGTCCAACACCCAGGATTCTCGACCGAGCTGGGGTTGCCAGAAGGAAAGGAGGTTCCAACCGCCGCCTGGAGCCCCCACCCTCGAGCCGTCCTCTCGCTTCCCAGAGCATTTCTTCCACCCCCTCCCAGTCCAAGTCTCAACACCAAACTGTCTACACCCGCTGTTTTCTTTTTAATATCGTAGTGCAATATGAGATGTGACTCTGTCTGGATGTCTTTCCAAAAGTCTGGTTGACCACGGATCGATTTTTTTTATTTCCTTTGGGGCGAGCCAGCACAGTCTTGATGGGCTGAGTGACCTTCACCACCACCTCCTGTCCCGTAACCGTTCTGCGACTCTGTCTTTAAACTTTTGTATCCTTGGAAAACTGTGTCAGGCGAGCTTGCTACCTTCAAAGGGAGACTTCAGTTGATCAGTGTTCATTTAGAGTTGGTACTCTCACTGCTTTAGAAACATTTCCTCGTTTCCCCCCACCCAGCCACTCCAGAGATTTTCAAATCGAGGGTTCTCAAGACAAGTATTCTGAGAACTTTCAAGTAATGTGTCCTGGAATGGTGTCACAAACAGTTCTGTACCCACCACTTTCATTTTGACTTCGTTGCCGTTGGTGTTTCGTTTACTTTTTGTGTCTAAAGTCAGAAGTAATACAACACTATGTGATAGTCCCTACAGGTTTATTTGAAATCACAAGGTTTCGGAATGCTGCTTACCTTTGTCACCTGACGAAGGTGACAAAGGAGCAGCGCTCCAAAAGCTTGTGATTTCAAATAAACCTGTTGGACTACAACGTGGTGTTGTATTACTTCTGACCTTTTCCACCCCAGTTCAACACCACCTCTATTTGTGTCTGGTCTGACAGGAAGAAGTGGGAACTAGTGAAGGGGAGGGAAGATATTAACCAGTGTCTCTAGTCCTGATCAATGTTGGGGTGAGTGTGCGCAGAGACTGCGTCCTGTTGGGTAAAGAATTGGACCTGGTTAAGATTCTCTGCCCATAACTTGTTGTACTTGCCCATAACCTTGTTGTCACCTTGGCAAGATGACAAGAAGGCCATCCACAGCAGTGTAAATGTGTTCCAGGACCAACAGATTTCCAACGTGACACCTGTTCTAATTATAGGCAGCTTTTGCGATGGGCTACACACAGTGGTCCCACCAGAACCTGAGGCACTGATTATTTATCAGATTACTGGTGTGTAGCACCAGAGATTTCAGTAGACGGGAGGGTAGAATAAGTGCATATTGAAACTTAGATGAATGCTTTGATTCGATTTGTACTTTTATTGTGTGTGTGCATGCAGGTTTTTTTAGTCAAAGTCTGTCCTTCTCGCTTGAAGTTCTTAGCAAACAAACAGTCTGTAAACTTTTACTATGTGTAAGGTCCATGTTCTGTGCTGTATGAAACAGGGTGAATGTCAAACAATGAAGAGTTCCCTGTCAACATTTACACTGTTATATCCAGCATCTTCCCTCTTTCTTTACAGACTGTGGCTCCACTAATGACCAGCTGCTTTCTGGTTACACTTTTTCCACCAGGCAGTTCAGGTGAAGAAGTCTTCACAGTCCAGAACAGTCCCGTTTCCTCACCCATCCAATGTTCTCCCTCTTTCTTCTTATCTTTGGAAGTACTGGAGACCAGCTGCACCTTCACTTTGGCCAAGGTTCTCTTACACAGATGTAATTCACAGACATCCTGAGCTCTGAAGACACAGTTACTTGCTGGATAAATGGACTGACAAGCCCAGGCGAAATCCAGAGGGCTTTAGAGAAAGAGCAGAGAGAAGTGAGACAAATGACACAGCTTCTTGAATGTGTCACCGCAGTCACAAGGACCTGACTAGCCCTTCCTGTGCTCTGTGAGTCTAAAAGAGACTAATATTGAGTTTTATGTTTGCCTTTAGAGTTCTTTTAGAAGCGTATTGCACACTAAAAGATGAATTTTGGTAAATTAAACTTACTCTGAATAACGATATTGAAAGTAAGTAATACAATTAGCATAATGTCCTTTAATATATTCCTGTGTAAATTATGTACTTTTTTATATAATTCTAGCTTTTCATATTTTGCACTTGGATAAGTAATGTCAACTCACATTCCCCATCCCAGCAGATTCAGAATTGGTCCTTGAAGTTATCACTTAACAAAAGTCCTTCAGGTGGGTGTTCGTTGTGTTCCTTGCAGGAAGGAAACCTGCTTTCCTTGTCCCCTGTGGACCCATATGTGACTCAAGTCCCAACTCTAGGTGCTTGATTCTTGACTGGCACTCTGCGTGGCCCTGTAAGCCATTCACTTTCTGTACAACCCACATCCACCCTCTCGGGGCTCATAGAGATGTCCAAAAATTCCAGTGGTGCTGCATTCCACGGAGGGAAAAATTGACTGAAAGTAAATGTGTGGGACTGTCTGGTTAACCTGCAGTGTTAGATTTGATTTTTTTTTTTCCCTTCTTCCAAGAACTCATCTGAATGTTTCTTGGATTTGATTCTTTCCAGGTTGTGGCTCTCATTTGTGTTGGAGCACATTGCTCTTTGTGTAAAAAGGAGCCTGTTCTTCTGTTGTAAACTAATGCAGGAAAACCAGAAACCAGAGCTCAGTAACAATTGAAACTTTGTGGTGTTTGCAAAATCATTTGAGTTCCTGTCTTCCCCCGCTCTGTGCCTCAGCTTATTTGCAGAAACCCTCGTTCATGCTCTGTGTGTGTACAAATCCCTCTGAGGCAATGAGGGTCTTTAGGATGCAGCAGAGGGGATTTATCAGAATGGATCCATGGATGAGGATTTGAGTGGCAGGGTTAGGTTCGGAAAGCTCGGGTTCGTCTCCGAATAGCGTGAAAATAAAAACAGAAGGTGCCAGAGCTGCAGAGTTTCTCCAGCACTATCTGTGGAGAGAGAAGCAGAGCTCACTTCCGGTTCCAAAGAAGTGTCATGTTGTACTCAAAAGCATTAATTCTGGTTCTCTCTGCACCATTGCTGCCAGAGCTGCTGAGTTTCTGTACCACTGTCTGCATGATAGAGGAGTAAAGATTATGAAATAAAAACGGAAAGAACTGCGGATGTTGTAAATCAGGACCAAAAACAGAAGTTGCTGGAAAAGCTCAGCAGGTCTGGCAGCATCTGTGAAGAGAAATTAGAGTTAACATTTCAGGTCCGGTGACCCTTCCTCAGAACCATGTGTATAAGATGTATATGACCGGTTTGGATATGGTAACAAAAGGATGAGATGTTCTGATTAGTGCAGGGCTGGGCTGCCCAAGTTTAAGGTTTTGGGTGAGAAATGCAGGGGGTGCGTGGAAGAACATGTTTATCCAAAGATCTGGAACCTACTGTCCATGAAAAGCTGGCGAAAGTAGAAACACTCAGTGATTTAGAAAGGAAGTTGGGTGGATTGAGACTTCAGAGAAATAAACTCGTCAGACAGTGGGGAGTGAGTGGGAGAATGAGCTGGCATGGACTGGATGGCTGCCTCCTCTGTCTGATGATTCTATAGCTCCTTTTGTCCCCTTCCCAATCACTGTCACTTTTCCATCGCTACAATCCTCTGAAATATCTTTGATCCTCCAACACTGACCTTTTATGTATTTCAGTTTTCACTCCTGGAGGCTGTGCCTTCCGCTGGCTTGGTGCTCACTCCTGAAGGCACTGGCTTGGTGCTAAGCGCTGGAATTTGTTCTATAAACTCTCTCGCTCTCTCTCTCTCCTCCCCACCCCCCACTTCCTTTAAGGCACTTAGTAAAAACCTACCTCTTTGACCAAGTTTTTGATCATTGTATTACTAACTCCCGATATGACTCACTGTTAGAATTTGTCTTCTTTGTGCTCCTGAGAACTCCTTGGAATGTTTTGCTAAGTTCATGGCGCTATATAAATGCGGTTATTTTTATAACATACTGAAGCTTTATCTGAGAGTATGAAGGCACAAAGGGGTGGTTAGAGGGTTCCTCAGTAACATATTTTCAATATGAGACAAGACCACAGTTTTAATACAGCTCTTTTTGCATGGGTTAAATTCAGATGAATGGTGTCCTGATGTGTTGTGAATGATGGAGGACTGTGCTATTTGAAGTAACTTTAATACTGAATCTATTTCCTGTAACTGTGCTTAACAGGAGCTAGGATGGAGTTGGGTCTGATTGTTGGGGCCCGGGATGATCATAACCAGGACCCTACCTCTTCGATGTGGATGGTGGACTTTGGAGTCAGAGCAGGCAGTCTTTTGGCAAATCTATATCTGGCATTTGATATGTTATTTTGTTGATTGAATCCCAATAGTCCAGTATGTCAGCCACACATGGCTACATTGGGAATACAGATCTGAAAAGTTTCAGTGCTGATTGGAAATGAGAAGAACTCATGATGGGTAGTGCTTTTGGTTCGGTAATCTCAGTTACTGTGTGCTTGGAATTTACAAACTCAACCACTGTGTACATTTACATGGGAATTGTAGAGTGTCTCAGTGCCTGCTTATTGATCGTTTGCGGCTGCTGTGGGGTCTGTTCAATAAATATCCACACAGGACGTACATTTATCAGGGTTGTCTGAGAGGCATTGTGTCCTGCAAACGGTGGAATTAGATTAACATAGTCTGAAATGTGGCTCATTAGTGGTTTCAATTGGCCAACTCTGGATAATATGTAATATTTTATTCATATGTATTTTTAATTAACCTGTTCAGAGATGTTATAACACATCTTGGAGCAGGTGTGGCTTGAACCCAGGTCTTCCAGCCCGTAGGTAGGGACACTACCACAAGACCCCCTAATTTTGATATATCACCATTTGTATTATTTCCACTGTCCCCTTCAAACACTGGGTATTGTCCTCTGGCATGGTACTGATGTAAGGCAGGGAGGAACCAGTCTCCCTCTGTGACACATGTCTGTATCTTTCCACCCACCAGCTGAGGGGCTGCTATTGAGATCAGCTGGAATCGGGTAAAGGGCTCGAGCTCCTCGCGCTGCAGTCTGATTTTAATGTAGTGATGCTAACCACAAGGTGTGAGGACATGGGCTGCTGAGAGGCTAAACTGAAGTTACCTGCGATGCCTTCTCTAGCAGAATTCCCTACCAATACTGTGTGTCTGGAATTGCATGTGAACAATGGCTCCATCACCACCCCCAACCCCATCTGCAATCCATACAGACTGTGACCCTTCACTGATATAAAGTTGCTCCAATATCCAGTTGCCTCCTGTTTATCAGCGTTTTTCTACCATAAAGGTTAATCATTTCCCATTCAGACGGTGAAACACTTTATTGGGGAATGCTGTGAGACAGTGAAGGAGACCATCCCGTGCTTTGATTCGGATTGACGGAGGCTGCTATCTTTGGAATGAGTGGCACCTCTGTGGGAGGTGTGCTTCAAAGTGTTACTGAAATAAAACCAAAAAAGATGCAAAATTGCTGGTGTGTCTTTGACATCTCAATGTCTGTAGCTGCACACTCACCTGCTTGTTGTAAATGTTCTTCGTGTTCGCCACCAGTAATCAACATGTTTTTGATTCAAGTGGCTCTGTGTTTTTACATAAAACCAATTTAGCTGCCTTTTCAGTAGAAAGCCTTTACTGTGAATTATGAGAGGTCTGTCAGGAAATTGGATTTGTCTTCATCCTTATGTTAAACGTGACTGTCAGACTATTATGCCAATGTTTTGCATTTTTGTATGTACCTTTTCTCGTATTTTGGCATTATCATCCCAAAATGAATGTTTTCCAGAATGTTTCAAAGATTCAACTTGACTTTTTAAATAATTGAGAACAAGGGTCTGGATTTGGAAGCAATTAAAATGCAGGGTCTTTGTTCTCCATTAGGCCCTTGGTGTGAGATAAAGATCTATCTGACTTTGTGCTGGAACTGTGTTGCAGCTACCCAGTTATTGTCTAGACAATGTGACTCCAACTTCCAGCCTCCACTTGAGCAACAGCTAAAGATATAAGGAGAAATCTCTTAACCCCTCAAGTTGAATCAATCAAAGACAACCTTCACTGACTTGGAGTAGGCAGTGCACAGACTTTGAGAGGAGAGAATTTGCAGGGCGATGTGGGAATGGGATTAACTGGACAGCTTTTTCAAAACACCAGTACAAGACTGATGGGCCAAATGGCCTACTCCTGTGCTGACATATGCTGGTTTGAGAAGCTGCTGATGAGGCAGCAGCTCAGTGTTTGTCCCCGTTGAAAGGTGGGTTTGCTGCAGTAACCTTGCCATTAAGTATTTTTGGGCCTAAGGAAGGGACAATTGCTTCTCAAATATGAACGCGCAAAGCTGTTTTTGTTTATTTTCCTGAGCAACAGCATCTTCAGAGATCATCTCAGGAATGGATATGTCAGGGTTTTGTACCTGAGAGGTTCTCTCTGCCCCCATCCCAGTGGTGAGGCCTTAATTACAGTTGGGAACATGTCAAGTGGAGTCCCAGCTGTGTTTTGCAGAAAGTGCAGAGTGAACATCTGGAGGAAAAGCAATCCTCCTTTCAACAGGAGATTGAAGGGCAGTTAAAGGTTCCTCATAAACCCCTGTCTGTTCACTCCTCGCTGAGAGCCCTGGTCCTTCCTACAACAGTGAATCATTTGAGGACAGAAAGCGCAGCAGGATAGGCTTTGCATTGAACACCCTTGCGGTGAATTAATCACAAACTGGTGAGGAGCACAACAGCTGAAGAGCTGCAGTATGTCCAGGATGAATGGCCCCCTATCTGAAATGCGCATCGTCCTGTGAACTTTGTTGAATGCTTTTCTGACAAACCGCACGGAAGGGTGTCTTTTGGTGTCACCTCACAGAATTCGTGTCAGCACAGTATTGTTGAAAACGGTCTGCTTTTCATTGGCAGTCCTGCTTTGGATTTTTGGAAAGCGCATCAACCTGGACTTGCTGTGAGCAGGGGTTGGAAGTATTCTCACAGGATGCTATTGAGAGAGGCACAAATGTGCAGGTGGGGAATCTAGGAAATGATAATTTGGAGATGGTCATGTGGCAATAGTTTGAGCAGTTTTCTGGGATGTAAAAGGCAGTGTATGTGTTTTAGATTTTTAAAATGGGGAGGGTGAGGAATTGGGCAATTGATTTATATATTTTTAACCTTTTCAAACTTAGAAGATTTTCACACACCAAATGGAAAGCTGGGAATGAGTGATTTTGATATCTTGATCTGTTTGTATGATTTACATTTATTTTCCAAATGACACTTCTGACTGTGAAATGTACTGCAATTTTTCACTATTGGGATTACAGTATGGACAGGAGTTATTTAAATAATAAAGAAACATTTTCAACAATTTAATAGTGAGTCTTGGGTGTCACAGCTTGATTGTTAATTTTTTCAGGAATCCATCGGGAGGCAGTGTCTGCTGCACACAATCTTACTTCACACAAGAAAGCTCGTCACAGCACACTGTTCCATCATGTTCAGTGTGACTAGGAGTGAGACACAGGCCTAACCAATTTTAGTCTTCCTAATCCAAAGTCCCAGAGGGTAAGCAATGTACCACATGGCTTTATATAGAAACAGGAGCAGACCATTCGGCTCTTCAAGCCTGCTCCACCATTTGATATGATCATGGCTGACCATTGAGCTTAATGCCCCAATCCCACCCTCCCCCCGTCATCCCTTGAGCCCTTTAACCACAAGGGCAATACCTACCTCCTTGAAAACACCCAATCTTTTGGCCGTAACCACTTCCTGTGGTAGTGAACTCCACAGACTTGCAACTCTCTGGGTGAAGAAATTTCTCTCACATCTCAGTCCTCAAAGGTTTATCCCTTATTCTTAAACTATAACCCCTGGTTCTGGGATCTTCCACCATCAAGAACGTCCTTCCTTCATCTACCCTGTCTAGACCTGTAAGAATTTTATAGGTTTCTTTTGAGATCCCTCCCTCATTGTTCTAAACTCCTGTAAATGTAATCCTAACCGACTCAATCTGTCCTCATGCGTCATCCCAGGAATCAGTCTGGTAAACTTTCACTGCACTCCCTCAACAGCAGACATTCTTCCTCAGATAAGGAGACAAAATTTTCTCACAATATTTCCAGGTGTGGCTTCACCAGTGCTGTGAGCAATTGCAGAAGCAATTGTTGCTGTACTCAAATCCCTTGCACAAGGAAGGCAACCACAGTTTGCTTTTGTCAGCACCTGCTACACCTGCACTTATTTCAGTGACTGGTGCATCAGGACCGTTATTCAAATAATAATCCATCTTCCTCGTTTCACTACAGAAGTGGATAACCTCACATTTGTCACAATATGCTGCATCTGCCATGAATTTACTGTTCACAGCCTGTCAAATCAAACAACGGCATATCAGCATCCTTCTCACAGCTCACTCTCCCACTCAGCTTTGTGTCATCTGCAAATTCTGTGTATTATATTTAGTTCCCTCATCTAAAACTTTAATATACTTCTTGTGATTCCCCACTGATCATTGCCTGCTCTTTGGAATTTGACACATTTGTTCCTATTCCTTAAGGTGTGCCATGGTGGTTCAGTGGTTAGCACTGCTGCCTCAGAGGGCCAGGGACATGGGTTCAATTCGAGTCTTGGGTAACTGTGCATTTTGCACATTCTCCTAGTGTCTGCATGGGTTTTCTCCCACGGTCCAAAGATATGCATGTTAGGTGGATTGACTGTGGTAGGTGGGGGTTACAGGGCTAGGGTAGGGGGCTGGATTTGGGTGATATACTCTTTGGAGGGTTTGTGTGGACTTGATGGGCCAAATGGCCTGCTTCCTCATTGTAGGGATTCTATAATCCTTGTTTCATGTCTGATAACCAATTTTCTCTCCATCTCAATACACTACCCCCAATCCTTTGCACTTTAATTTTATACATTAATCTCTTATGTTGAAAGTCTTCTGAAAGTTCAAAAACAAAACCACGTCCACTGCCCCCGGCCCCCCCCCCCCCCCCCCCCCCCCCCCCCCCCCCCCCCC